ATTTTTTTGGGAAAAATTTTATCATGTGTAAAATCTGAAAAAGCAGGTGAATTTCTTGAATGATCACTCAACTTTGATTCAATTAACATTTTGAACACAACTTAAATCAGATTTTTATGTTATTCATTTACTATTTAAACTAGTCAAATTTCTCTATAATCTCTAAAATTTATCTGCAACCTCAACCCATTTAATTTAATTGAGGCCTTCTAATCAATTTGTTGGAATGGTTCTCTAAGTACAAACTTGTGTTTGGTGGCAAAATTTTTTTTAAAAAAGTACAAACTTGTGTTTATATTGATTGTGTACATATTCAAAGTTCAATAAATTTTTAAAATGAGGAAAACCTTCACCCATGAGGCCGATATTAAGCATCTTAAAGTTTTGAAATTATAAAAATATTATATAATTTAAATTATTAAATACAAAAATTACAAACTCTATATTCTATGCCTTTAATATTAGAGTTGTTCTTTATTTAATGATTTTTTAAATTTAATAGAATTAAAATAGTCATTTTAAAGATTTAGATTCCATTACCATTAAAAAAATAAAAAGATTTAGACTTCCTTTATTATAGTTTTGATTTTGAGTTTTGACGTTATTTTTGGATAAAATGCAAAATTTTATTTATCCAATAAAATTAGTATGTACACATAAACAACAAGCCTTTGTTACTACAACAAATTATAACTCTAATCAAAGAAAGAATTTATTTATCTAAGATTGTACTAGTGATTTTAAAACCTCTACAATCCCTTATTGCACTGTTATAGACATATGAAAAGGAATTAAGTATTGTAAAGACTAAAATCTTATTTTTTATTTCCAAAAAAATGTCATTACATTGATATACACTTTTCTAATGTAATAATAAAACAATGTCATTACACTAAATAATGTAATAATAAATATGTCATTACATTGCTACATATTACTATAATTTATTATAGTAATGAATGACTTGCTACATATTACTTGAAAACAAGTCATTATAGCGAAAAGGGCTTAGGTATTGCAAAGACTAAAATCTTATTTTTATGTCCAAAAAAATGCCATTACATTGATATACACTTTTCTCATGTAATAATAAAAAAATGTCATTACATTGAGCTTGTAGAGATAGATAAAGCATAATGGAAATTCAGAGAACCAAGGACTTGCCATGCAGTTCAATGAACAACAAAAGCAATCGACTTATACGATTGTGTATCTTCGGAGATTTTGGTATACCATTATGGCAATGAAGAAAAATGCTCAAATCTATCAAACTCTACTAATAGATTCTATAAAGAATCCAAGGCTATACCAATTGTCAATAGGGGCTAAGAAAGTTGCATTAAAGGGTTTAGTATGAAGACTAAATCAGAACAAGCAAGGTCATGGGAATCAAATCAAGCAATAGCCTATGAACTAAGAAAGGAAACAGAAGATATTAGAAGAGAAAAAGGATTAGCTAAGGATACAAAAGCTTTCAGAAGGGAAGAAGCATCTCCAACTATTACTCATAGTGCGCAAGTTGAGGAAAAATCAAGCAACAGTCAATAGCAACGTTCACGACCAAAATTTTAGGCATATACTTAGAATATCTTATATATATATGCACACATATGTATGCAGTGATTTATTGGATTCAGTACAATTCAGTATACTCAAAATTCTCTATTTTCTTAAGTTTTTCTTCATGGTATCATAGCAGGTCACAATCTGCAACTGAATGCTCTGTTCCTTCATTAATAATATCCGTCTTCATATTTAGAAGATGTTTTTCTCGAGCCATTGAAAATCAATTTCTTCCTGATTTATCAGGTGATTCTCTCGAGAAATATCCACCGTTAGTTTTCATTAATGCTAGCTTTTTGGAGGAAAGCGGTGTTACGATGAAATGGTTCGAGGAAAACTATTCAAAGAGGAATCAAGAAATTGTAATTTATAGGCTGGAAATGGTGCCAAAAGAAGAGGGCGGCTGGGTTGGAATTTTAGATTGATTGGTGAGAAATAGGGTGGAGGAAGAGTATGCAGTGATAAAGGCGGAAGCAGATGCCATTGAGGAGATGATAGAGCGAAGAACAATTTTTTTGGTTGATGAACTATTCTTGGAATGCAACAATCAGTGGTGGGATGAAGAGAAGAAGAATAAGAAGAACAACAAAAGGCTTATTGGGAATGCATGGCTTTGTATGGAAGACTAGAGGATGAGGGAGTTGCTGTGCATCAATGGTGGAGATTGTCCAAGAAGAGACATATCATTGAGCTTGATCAATTCAGTACTTTTAGTTCAATTTTTTGCTTTAATTTTATCAAATAAAAAGATGAATTGTTTATGAAGATAAATGCTGCATACTTCTACGATGTCTTCTTTATCTATGGTGTTCTTCTAGTTTTGATTCATGCGTTGCTTTTTCATCCCCTACTTTGGCCATGTTTAGTTCTGGAAAAACAATTTGTATGGTGTCGGCATGAAATGCAATGTTATTAATACATTACAACAGCAAACTACACATATGGGAAAAGGAAAACTAATAATGAATCATATAATAATATTTCTCAAGCTTCTTTGGTTCAATGAGGCCTCCATTACAGAAATCAAAGGAAACCAAACAAAAGAGAACCACATAAGAATGGCTTATTCTTTTGTATAATTACTATTAAGTACTATAGCTACATTCTCTTCTACTAGTCATATTCGAAGGGGTGATGGATGGAGTTAAAAATAGCAATATTGGGGTAAGTAAAGTAGAACCTGAGCTTTCAAGTGCACCTAAGGGAATGGTTGGAATTTGACTAACCGGGGTCAATGGAGTCAGCCTGACCTCTGGATAGGAATTAAAGGGGGGAAACAAGGGGCTTAAAACAAAAGGCACACTAGAAAAGTCTAGTATTGCCTGGAGAAGATGGCGAATCCTAAGGGCAACATCCACACTTGAAAATGACAATGTGACAAGGGCAAGAATAATTAAATACCGAGTTGCCATCAGATTGAATCTATGGCCTTTTCGATATATAACCTATTGTGATTTGGTTGGTTGAAGAAAAGGTTGTGTTCTTTTATAGACATACATAAAGTGTGATGACTTTTGAAAAGTTGAATTAATAAGAGAAGAGGGCTTGCCGCTTGGTTTGGTGTATGTCTAAAGCTTGCTGTTGGGTTTGGTATATACTAGTGATGGGCTCAAAAAAGTTAGGTCACTGTTGTATTGCAGCTTCTAATTTAATAGCTTCAAAAATTGTTGGAAGATGTGTTAAAATCAACTTCATTTATCAATGCATTAAGACTTAGTTTCCTACTTAGGCCGATCACAATTTCCTATGAAATCTAAGGAGAGCTTTTTAATTAGGAGTCACTGAGTTAGTGCAATGTATATATGGCTTCAAAGAACTTTAAAGAAACTTATTGGTATCTATAAATATAGTGATGTAGTCAATTCCTATAACTTGCATGCAGGGAGACATCTTTAAGTTTATTGCCTTTACTTTCAAACTAGAAAATAATAATTTTTAATGAATGTGTTGTGTAATATATTAAACTGGAATGTCCACTAATCATTATCCAATATGCAAAATATAAAGGGAGAGAGAGGAAGAAAAATTAGTTCAAAAAAGAAATACAATGATAGCAAGATATATATGCAACAATTGATTAAAAATGAACAATAAAGAGGAGAGGATAAGAGGTAAAGAATAATAAAAAATAATTTACTAATATAAAGGGATTTACAAATACATACACACACAGACAATATAAGTGGAACTTCCATGCGTTGTCAGGGTTTGGGTTTGCTAGGGTTTTGACTTTTGGGGCAATGGTGAGTCTTTTCTTCTTGGATTACTTTCCTTCCTAGGGGTTGTTTTCTCTCCTTTATCTCCTTGTTCCTTTCTATAGTGGTGTTATGATAACACTGGTTGGCTTTAGCAACTGTAATGAGGTGTAAAAGGGGGGGTTTTCCGCATTGTTTAATTGGGTGATAAGTAAGGTTGTTGCTTTTGTTGGAGATTTAATAGAAAGCACATTAATACGGCAAATAATGAGATCAAGTCTACCTTAGGTGGCATTTATTGTCTGAGGGGGAAAAAGCGTCATCTTGTTGGTAAAGGCATGGGCAAATATACCACACAGCAAGGATGGTTTATGCCTAGTTGGGAAATTCTAACTAAAATGAAAATTAATCTCATTGGGCTTCAAAATATAACGATCTTTTCCAGGAAACCAAGAACAAGTCTCAAGGTTAGTGAAATTAGGGATGAATTCTTTCTTTTTTAATTTGGTAATAACTTTGATATGAGTGAGGTTGTTTTGAAATCCTCATAGAACTTTAGTAATTCTTGTATCATTCTTTAAAGGTTTGATTAAAAGCTCACCCTTAAGTAATACAATTTTTCTTCCAATCCCTTTTTGGGTGCATATCCATTATCTACCAATGAGTAAGGATAAAGGCCTAGTACTGGAGGTAGATAATGATCCTAGCAAATCCCAACAAATTTGTGTTCTTCAAAAGTTGATAAACTATTATAAAGGTTCGTTACAGTTAAATTGTCTAAAATAAAGGTAAAACAATTATATCTAAAATATGATCGCCTCTCGGATTTTTGTTATGTATATGGCCAAATTTGTCACCCTAAATTTGATTGACATTTCATTCTAAATAAAGGAGGAAGGTAAGAAGGTCAACCAACCATTTGATGCATGGCTAAGAGTTGAACTTATGAAGCTATGGAGTTCCCTTAAGACTGAGGACTCAAACTTATCACCTTAACCAAATCTCCTCA